AGAGAGGTGGCGCTCACCTTTAGATTCGAATCCTCAATTTTTAACAAATAATTCACCTAACATACTAATCATTGTCCTTATCAAAAAAAAAAAAACACCTCATGTTAAACAAACACCTCATGTGAGATTGTACCATGTACCCTTAAACAAACACCTCATGTGAGAATGTACCATGTACATTTAAACAAACACGCCCTCGTAACTAGCACGATGATACATTTACCTTCTCATTACACATCCTCTGTTATACATGCTCATTTCGTTACTTATTCTGTTAATTTCGCTACTTAATCCGTTAATTATGAAGACCACCAGCGTAACCCTTTCTTTTTCTCTCTCCTTTCCATTCTCCTTCTTGCTATTCCAATTGACGTTTTCTCTCTTTTAGACATGGAGTTGGGTTTGAAATGTTGAAATTTTTGGGAGTTTTTAAGGAGAGAGACAACAAATGGAACTTGAAATGTTGGAATTTTCGTTGCCTAGGAAGTTCGACAAATTGAACAACTTGAAATTTTGTGTCTTGTTTGGAATGATAGCCCTTTTTCAAGTCTGCAGACCCATGCCTCCGACTTTCCTTTTTTATTATATCTTCTTTTACTTGTTGCAGCGAGATCAACTTTGGCATCACAACGAGATCAAGCCAGCGGCAACAAAATCCAGCCAGCAACTATGAGCGGCAGCGAGAAACATCCAGTGACCATAACCGACAGTAAGAAGCAACCAGTTCGCACAAGATCCACGTCGCCAACGGCTCAAGATAAAGCCGCAACCATAAAGCCAGCACCCACAGATCTGGTTTCCATCTTCGAAAACAAGAACCTTCAAGAAGAAATTAACATATTTTGAAGCGTAATCAGACTTGCCATGCCGATCAAACATTTATTCCTCACTAGAAATCTTTGATTTTAGGCGTAGATTTCATCATCCCCCCACCGGCAGCCATAAATCCTCTTTTCCCACAACCAAAAGATCATCCCCTCTCCTTTCAAGTGAAACCCGATTGGGGTAAATGGGCGAACAAACTTGGTTCATGGCCGACTTGGAGAAAAACAGAATAGGTTGATTGGGTTAATCACCTATAACCTCACGTTGGTAGAGTTTGGAGAAACATGGGTTCCCCAAGCTTTGAAAATGCCCCCAAGCTACTGGGTTCCTAAATCCTTATCTTCAACCTCTAAATCCTTTCATTTTCTCTCCCCTCCCCCAACACCAGATCTGGGTTCCTTTGCAGGTTCCCACTTGCTCAGCTTCATGCTTTGTGTCAGTGAAATTGACGATGATGAATAAGAGGAAGATGAGGCTGCAAATGATTAGGATGAGGATGGAGGTGAGGAAGATGGATCTGGTGAGGACGGTGAACAGCAGGAAGGAGTAAGGAAAGGAGAGAGAAAGAAAGGCTGGGTCGGGTACCTTTGGAGTTTAACGGAAGTAATGGAAGTAACGGAGAGTGAATGAGGGTGTAGCAGAGTGTGTAACAGAGGAGTGTGTAAGTAGCATTTTCCTAGTAACTAACATTGGAAATCGAGAGTAATTACATATGCACAAACTAATTAATTTGATAATATTAATATGTAATTATAGTTGTAGATTATTTTTTTATCCTTTCATTATCATTAATGAGGATAACGTGTGATTGAACTGTTTGCAAGTGTAGTCCTCGATCAGCCAAGGCCAAAGTAGGGAATAACGTAAGTGGAAAACAGAGGATGCATAGATTCTTATACTCAAGATATCTCTTAAAGAGAATCAAATCATAATATGATTGATTTTAATATAAAAGAAAGTAAGAATAGAATCTCTTAGAAAAAAGGAATACCATATCATTATGAAAATTAATTAAATTATGAAAAATTAATTTATCAATTGATTGATTTCAAAGATTTGTTATTGATTACAATCTCATTAATAAAAAGATTTTTAATTAATTATTATTTTTTTATATTATGGCCCCATTTGGTATAGTGATTTTGAGGTAGCAATTAACGATTTTACCTAAACCGCTAAATATAAGTGTTTAGTAAATTTATATATTTCGAAACCGCTACAATTAAAGTGTTTGGTAAAATTTTTATTTAACGGTTTGA